AACCTTTCATGACCTCTGAGTATGTCATTCTGCGACTTTGTAAATCAAGATAGATAGATAGATAGATAGATAGATAGATAGATAGATAGATAGATAGATAGATGTGGGAGATGAATCTTTGTCCTGAAATCCTAGCACAGATCCCTTAGTGATTTCTCGAGGTATTCTAGTGCTATTAGACGCATCATTGATTCTAATAATTGGTCTTGGGTATCCGTCTCTGACACAGATCTTTTGCTCCTTTGGAATTTCCTGGTAATCCGAGCATCGTTGGTTCTACCAGAGTGATTCCCGGTGGGCTCATGGATGAAACCTGGTCACCAGAATGATTTTCATCCCTGTCCACCTCAGCCCCCACTCCCTAATCCTCTGGGCAGAGAAAAGGGGCTGGATATTGACTTAATAACTGGTTGAGCCTGCATGCAAAATTCCTACACTATGGGGCTCAGAATGAACCCTGGTTAGTAAATAAGAACATGTCCATGTGCCAGGACGGACACACCTGCAACTTTATGAGCACAGCAGGTCCTATACTTGGAATCCCTCCAAGCCTCCCCTACGTATCCCTTCAACGGGCTGCTCACTGTTGCCTTTAAGATAGCTTGGAGAATAACAAGTAGACTGTTTTTACTGTGAGCTATTCTACTCAAAACTGAGGTCATGGTACCTGTGATGGATAGCCAAGCTGGACAGTAGTCAAGGGACCCATTGTGTGGCGTTGACACCTGAAGTGGGGGGAGGGGACAATCTTGTCGGATGACCCCTAACTTGTGAGGTCTGTGCTAACTGCGGTTAGCATCAGAATTGAACTGACTTTGGAAGATACAAGAGATGGTATCAGAGAATTGCTTAACTGTGGTGGGGGGGGGGGCACATGCTGGCTCATACTCTGTTCTGTGTTGAATAGAGAGAAAAAGGAAAACAGTTTCATTTTGTTCTATCTATGTGAAAAGGTAATAAAAACTAGTAGTACCTAACACTCATCAAAGAGTCTGCATGCATGATCTTACTATGTATATCATGCTTTTATTTTTCAGATGTGGAAACTGAGGCCCAAGAAGGTTAAAAAAAAAAACACTGCTGGAATTTATACGCTCAATGGTGTCAAAGCCAAGATTTGAACCTCTGGCTCCAGAGTCTGCATCTTGATAAGCCACTTTCAGTCCATTGCCAGCCAATCCCCATTCAGGCAAGAGCATCATCTATTAGGTTTTCCATACTTGGGCTTATTCACACCCAGGGCCTGGACAGTGGATGGTCCCACTTCCCATAGTAGCTACATCTGTTCAGCTTACTGCCTGTCCCTGGTCTTAGCTCCAAAGATCAGGAGTTTGTCTATGTACTCACTCAGCACAGGATAGAAGAGACAGGATTGTCATAGGAACTTTCCTATCCAATCCTCTCCTTTTACAGATGGGGAAACTGAGACCCCGGACAGTGAGAAATACAAAGCAATGTGTGGATTTCCAGCTCTGCCACCAGCTCATCACGGGCCTTACACTGAAACTCTTTCTTGGACTCATTATCTTGCTCATGTAACTGTAACCCCTCTGTGCAGTATCTTTACAATAAAAAAGATATCTTTAAAATAAAAATAAATAAACAAATAAATTCCCTCCAGCATGCTGCCTTTCCAAGCCTCTGATTCTCAACAATTTCTCTGTTTTCACCACATAGTTCATCTGCAGAACTAAGGCTTAAATCTTGTCCCTCAGTCCCTCTCACAAGAGAGCCTACCTATCTCCCTGGATTCCAGGGTGGCTAACCCACCTCCAACATCATCTCAAAGATCCCCACCAGAACCCCCCAGGACCATCCATCCAGGACTCTGGACAGCTCCTTCTTCTTGGAGACATCTGATAAAGCATGGCTCAGCAATCATTTGAAATGAGCCTCAATGCCTCAGGCCCTTGGATCCCCACAATCCTCAACCTGAAAATCCTTCTCCTATCACCCAGCCTTTCCAGAAACTCCGCACTGTCAGCAAAATCTTTGAATGAGGTGAACCTGAATTTCAATCCTCCTTCGACCACCCACTAGCTGTGTGGCCTTGAGAAAGTTGCTCAACCTTGCAGTGTTTCCATAGCCACATATGCAAAACAAGTATTGGATGAGTTTGTAGTGAAGGCTTCTCAAATACCTGACATGCAGGAGGCACTGGGCAGGTGAAGAGCTGCTATACCTCCCTGTCACACATCAGGAAATGCAACACCGTCATCAGTACTAGATGACCTGTCCAAGAACCTTCTGAGCCTCCACCCTGCCCTGGCATGTGGCTTTGCCCCCTTCCCTCTCTGATCCCTGAAACTGCTTAGCAGAGTACCCACAGTGACCAGACAAATAACAACAGACAAATAACCACTCATCTTAGGTTTCCTGAGGACAGGATCTTTGTGAAATCTGTCTCTAAACACTGTTCAAGGAACATCTGAGAAGCTATTCCAGGGATTCTTTGTCTTGAAATCTCAGGACAGAAGCTGTCTTTCTGAACCTATTTTCCCCATATAACCGGCTGCCCATGTAGGCTGCCACCAGGTAGACTTCATGCCCAAGACACTAGTGAGTGCCTAAAACTGAACCTGTGACAGGATAAAGCAAGGAAAAGTAAGCATATGTATCAGCTCAACAAACATTGTAGCCCCTACATCGCTGATCTAGCCGGCTGCCCCCAATCCTACAATCTAGGCACCGAGCTGAGGTCTCAGAGTGCAGATGGCCTCGTGGCAAGCTTCATGGTCCTCGTGTCCAGCCATACTCCTCAGTCTGAGACCCACAGAGGAACAAGGGCCTGCTTTGGTCCTCAGGGAACCCATGGCAAGCAGCAAATGCCTGCTATGGGAAGCCTAGACATCATCTGATTCCCAAAGCCACCTGCTCTTCTCTTCTGTAGGGATGGGGACCAGGCATTGCCTGCTATCTGCCTCCCAAGTTGGCTGCAAACTAAGCCTGACCAGTTCTGATTCATACACCCTCTTAAGAAGGGTTTACAGCCAGGCACTGGAGGCTCATGCCTGTAATCCTAGCAACTGAGGAGGCTGAGATATGAGGATTAAGGTTCAAAGCCAGCCTTAGCAAAAAGGCCAGTAGAACTCTTTTGCCCAATTAACTAGGTAAAAAGCTGGAAGTGGAGGTGTGGCTCAAGTGATAGAATGCCAGCCTTGAGTAAAAAAAAAAAAAAAAAAAAACAGGTGAAAGCATGAGGGCTGAATTCAAGCCCCAGTTCCAGGAAGGAAGGAAGGAAAGAAGGAAGGAAGGAAGGAGGGAGGTAGAGAAGGAGGGAGGGAGGGAGGGAGGGAAGAAGAAGGAAAGAAGAATGATCTTTCAGCTTCTGCCACACGAAGTGTTTGAAAAGCAAGGATCTAGGTCAAAGGAACTTGTTCCCAGCCTGCTGTCACCACTTCTGGCGGGTGATCTATTCAGTGAAGTTACTGAATGTCCCCAGGCCTCTGTTTCCTCTTCTAAAACTGATGCCGAAGGCTGATACCCTCTTCACAGAGTCGCTGGGAGAATTAATGAGATGCCATGGAGGAATGCCCTGCCCAGGGCCCAGCGCGCTATAAACACTCAATAAATCCCTTGTCCTTCTGTCAGCCTGAGAAGTCCTGCCTCTGCATGCTCTGGGAGACATTAAATCTCTCCAGAAAGAGCAGGTGCTCTTTTCTCTCCACCCAGGGTCTGGCCTTGACAGAAGGCTTGTGAATGAGGAAGACGCTTGGCCGGACAGGATTCCGTGATGCATGTGGACCCCAAAAAGATCGGTGTCTCCAAAGAACAGAGGTGTCTCCTCTTCCCAGCAGGACTACAAAACTGGTTCTCCCTCCATGACCCCAGGCCCCAGAACTGAGCCAACCCAGACTTCTCCATTTCCTCCTTTCCAGCCCTCCCCCCTCTTTCCCTTTCTCTCTCTCTCTCTCTCTTTCTCTCTGCTCAAGGCTATGAATCCTGTAGCTCAGAGTAACACAAGAATGAGTGGGGGTTTCACTGCTCCAAGCCTAAGAAGAAACTCTTGGAGATTTAGATCAGGACAAGCAACAGTACTGGGCTTGGTGGTGCATGCCTGTAATCCCAGCACACAGCAAAGGGAAGCAAGAAGATCACAAGTTTGGGGGCCAGCATGAGCCGATAAGGATCACCCCCGTATTTAAAAAAAATTTATAAAGTCATCAAGGGCTTGTGCTGCTTTGGGCTTGAGTTTGGGGAAACCAGAGTAGGCTTCCGAGAGGAGGTGTCTTTTCCTCTGGTTACTTTAAGGCCCTTTAGTAGATGGAGATGAGAACTGACCATCTACCCTGAACATCAAGTGTACGTGGCTAGAAAGGAGGCACCCTTCAAGCCGCAGTGAGAACAGAAGCCACCGTCCTGCCCTGCCTTGGTCTGTGTGAGGCTATTGCCCAGATTCCCAGACCAATTCTTGGTCGTGAAGTCATGCAAGTAGGGAGCCCAGGCCAACCCTGCCGCTTATTGCCCACCCATGAGGTCCCTCATCTGTCCGGTATCAGGAGCCTCATCTTCTCAAGGGGAAGAATTAACCATGACCACCTTACAGTTTTATCATTGAGGCACATGGGGGTGAGGGGGCCTAGCACAAAGCCAGCCATAAGTACAGAACCAGGGTCCACCATGCAATTAGAAACTTGGCAAATAACTATTAGATGAGTTTGTGCTGAGTGCCTAGGGAACTCTTTTACCCCCCCACACACACACCACCTCCTCAGTCCCCCGTCATGGGGGTAAGCCAGAAGAGCAACTCACACAAACAGCACTCTTTGTCCAGGATACAGCACCCTGCACATCCTAAAGAATGAATTCTGCATGATCACCAGGAATGAGACCAACATGGCAGGGGTGGGAGGGGTGGCAGGCATCAGCATGTAGACCCCGGGCCTCCTCAGAACTCAGAGGCCAACCTAGACCCCACCAAGCAAAACTGGACATACCACTAAGTATTTGCAAAAAGAAAAGTGGTTCTTTATTACAGGAACAGATACAAGTACCAACAAGCTTGTTATGCCAGACAGCCCTTTCTTGCACTTCCAAGCTCAAAAGGAAGTGGAGAAGAGAAAAGCTAGTGGGGAGAAAGAATGTGCAGAACACCAAACTGGAAGACAGAAGGCCCCTCTTCAGCAAGTTGCTCGCTGCAGCGGGGCCTGGAGTTTACGTTTCCAGCCCCGCTGGGCAGTTCCCTGCTCAGCCAGGGGAAGCCAAGGGCTGGCAAGGTATGTTTCTCCCATGCTGGGTATTCAGATATCTCTCTTGCTGGAAGAAACCAGCTTTCCATCTGAAGACTCCACTACATGGACACGGAAGCTGCTGCTGCTGCTGCTGCTCCCACCACCAGTGCCACCTCCCAGGGAGCCTATAGGAAGAAGAAATCATCTTTAGCATGAGGCAACCTTCCTTTTGTCTCCCCAAAATAGCCAGGATCTGGGCTGAGCTGTGGGAAAATTAGACTCTTTGAGAATGGCTACTGGCCAATCCTGCCAGAGCTACCAGGAGGTCTAGTGTTGAATCACTCATCAGAGATGAGTGACGGGGATGGCAGGTATGCCCGGCAGTGAGCAATAAGGCAGAGCAGGAGTAATTGTGGGCATCTGACCATGCGTGATGAAGGCGGAGCCTAGGAGAGAGACCGATCCAGGACAAAGCCTGCTTAGTCTAGAGTGTTCTTAGGAAATCTCCCATATCAGCCCCACTGGGGCCAAATAAGGTCTACTTTTGTAAAGGGGGCATATCCTAGAATAGTTCCACATCCCAGCTCCATCCATGTTTGGTCTTTTTCTTCTTCCTGATCCAGTGGCTTCAACAGCTCCATTCCCTACCCTCCACCAGAAGAATTTTAAGCCTCCCTACCTTCCTTGATGCCAATGCCAGCCATCCTAAAACAGAAGAGGCAACAGACATTAAGTAAAGGACAAAAGCTCTAGTATCCTTAAGAGATGCTCTGATCAAAAAAGCTCTGGGGACTGGGAAGGTGGCTCAGTGGTAGAGTACTAGTCTCGTGTGCATGAGGCCCTGGGTTCAATTCCTCAGCACCACATAAACAGAAAAGACTGGAAGTGGTGCTGTGGCTCAAGTGGTAGAGCACTAGCCTTGAGCTGAAGAGCTGAGGGACATTGCCCAGTATCAGAGTTCAAGCCCCAAGACCAACAAAAAAAAGAAAAAGAAAAAGAAAAGCTCAAGGACAGCACCCAGGCCCTGAGCTCAAGCCCCAGGAGCAGTGCCTTGTGTGCGTGCATACAGAGGGGGGGGAGGGAGGGAGAGGGAGAGAGAGGGGGGGGAGAGAGAGAGAGGGAGAAGGAGAGAGAGAGAGGGAGGGAGGGAGAGAGAGAGAGAGAGGATGCTCTGGTGGATGCTAAGCACTCCTTCACAGCCCCACCACACGCCACCCTCACATCTTTGAAGTGCTGAGACCTTCTGACAGCCCATTGGTCTAGCCACTCTCAGACAGGCTCTGATCTCTATCCATCTCCTGCAGAGAAGGAAGGAACACTACATCTTCATGATCATTAGTCCAACCTCTGTCATTAACAAGGGAAACATAAATCTAAAGAGGGGAAATGACTTGCCCAAGGCAACAGCCAAAGAGCCAGGTGCCAGGTTCAGACGCTTTACTCCTTGCTCAGCTCTTTTCACTGTACGATACAGGGGCTTGTTTCTTTCAGATGATCCTGCATGCCAGCCACACAAGCAGCCCCTCCTGCCCCCCTGCCTCTCCCACCCCCCACCCCTGCCATGCCCAGGCTCTTACTTGGCATCCTGGCCCTCCAGCAGGCTTCGGTAAGTGGCGATCTCCTGCTCCAGCCGTGTCTTGATGTCCAGCAGCATGTTGTACTCCTGGCTCTGAGTCTCCATCTCACAGCGGAGCTCGCTCAGCTGACTCTCCAGACCACTGATGAGCCCTTGGATCTGCTGCAGCTGTGTGGCGTAGCGGCATTCAATCTCCGCCAGTGAGTTCTCCAGCCCGGCTTTCTGATGGAACAACACATCCATAGATACATCATGCTAGAAAGGAATCCATCAACGACGGGCAAGGAGGTGGGAGGGATGGGGGTGCTCAGAAACCTTAAGGCTTCACCAAACTAGGGAAGGTGGAAGTATCTGTTGCTAGAGAGGCCCAGATAAACCCTACCATGCTTAGCTGGGATTGCAGCTCAATCTCCAACCCCTGCATGGTGCGTCTCAGGTCTGTGATCTCAGTCTTGCTGGTCTGGATCATTTCTGTATTGGAGGCCACCTCCTTATTCAGCTCCTCCGTCTGTAGGTCACACAAAAAGACCATGAGCCCTTGTGGGCCCCTGCACTAGGAGCTATAGGGCAGGGCGTGGCAGGGCAGGACTGGAAGGTCAGACTCACCTTGCTGAAGAACCAAGCCTCGGCATCCTTGCGGTTCTTCTCCGCAATGGCCTCATACTGCTCTCTCATCTCGGCCAACATGCGGGTCAGGTCCAAGCCTGGTGCAGCATCCATCTCCACATTGACCTGGCCAGCCAGCTGGTTGCTGAACTCCTTCATCTCCTGCAGGGTGGGGGAGCCCATTTAGAGAGAGAAGGCAGAAGAGAGTCAAGACAGATCCCTCAGCTCCGCTGAGCCTCCTCCTCCTCTAGAGCCCATCAAGTGAGAACCCCCGCCCTACCCCAAGATCGCAGGTTTCTTGTGTGAATTCATAAATCAATCCAAGACAGTTCCTTCCTGGCCTGGCCTTAGGTCTGAATTACCAGAAGACAGTGCCCCTTCCTGGCCACAGGGACCTCCATTGGTTTAAGTTAGGAAGGGCCGGTATTTCTGAGCCACCGAACCCCAGTCAACTATGAGAAAATACCAGCCCAGCTCTGCCTCCCCCGACCAAGAGCTGCAGCCCGGCTCCCTGACCTCCTCATGGTTCTTCTTCAGGTAGGCCAGCTCTTCATTCAGGCTCTCGATCTGCATCTCCAGGTCGGTCTTAGACAGGGTCAGCTCATCCAGCACCCTGCGCAGTCCGTTGATGTCAGCATCCACGCTGTGGCGCAGGGCCAGCTCATTCTCATACCTGGGAAGACAGAAGAAACCTAAAGTCAGGAAAGGGGAGGAGTCAGGAAAAGGAGGGATGAATAACGGGGTACAGAACAGGTGGGGGGAGGAGTCTTTGCAGGAAGGGAAGACAGCAGTGGAACACACTTGAGTCTGAAGTCATCTGCAGCCAGCCTGGCGTTGTCGATCTCCAGGATGACCCGGGAGTTGTCAATGGTGGCAGCCAGGATCTACAATAGACAAGGATTTGTGTCTGAGGACTGCTGGTCTGTGCTGTGCTCAAGGTCCCCCTGAATGGCCACCTTCCCCTCTGACACCACCAATGGAAACCTGTAGAGTTGCTGGGGCCCACCATCCAGCCTCACCTCCAGCACCCATGTACTTGCTCTGGTCCATGCCACCCTTCCTGCAATACCCCAGGGACTGCTCTCCAGGGAACAGAAGACTAAGGAGGAGGGAATATTGCCTGGAGTCCCCTGGGGGAACCACCCGCCAGGGTTGCTCTAGGTTAGGGTGTGTGTGGTCAGTTCTGGTGATAGCTTTCTTAAGGGATGGACACTTGATCAGCCTCAGCCTCCTCATCCCAACTCAGGATGGCTGCCTCCTACATATCCTGACCGAGCCCTGGCTCTACAGAACATTCTAGTGAGTAGGAAGCTCTAGGAGCGTGGCTAAGCAAGACATTTTACAGATAAGAAAACAGTCTCGGGGCGTGGAAGAGAAAGTAGGGGAGGGGTAGAGCCTGTCTACTGAGTTCCCCACAGTGCCTCTGGCACAGAAAGCATCCTTTAAAAGATGAGACAGACAAGAGATCCCAGCATTTGAGTTCATGAGTTTACTCTTGCCAATCTTGCCAAGAAGGTAAGGGAACACTTCACGCAGCACCCTCAAAGTATTGGGGGACAGAGAGACCAAGCTAGTCTGCCCCTACCTGTGTCCCAGCGGTCCTAACCAGATTCCCAAACCTCTCTGTCCCCCAGCCCTGCCAAGTGGAACAGGTATGTACCCGCAACTGCACAGGCACCCCACGTTTGCCAAGTTACACAGGACACTGTCATGAGTGGGGCAAGAAGGGATTTCCCAAGGCAGCATGAGGACAGCCAGACACCTGCTCCCTCCACACACACCCTTTCATTGACATCTAAGAACTTACTTTATCCCGGATCTCTTCCATGGTCTTAAAGTAGTGGCTGTAGTCACGTTCTGGACTGGCCGGACTCTGCTTCTGGTACCAGTCATGAATCTTTACCTCCAGCTCGGTGTTGGCCTCCTCCAGGGCACGGACCTTGTCCAGGTAGGAGGCCAGGCGGTCGTTGAGGTTTTGCATGGTGATCTTCTCATTACCAGAGAGGAGACCTCCATCGCCACCACCAAAATCACCATAGCCACCACCTAAACCCCCACCAAAGCCCCCACCTAAACCCCCACCAAAACCACCACCTAAACCCCCACCAAAACCACCAGCAGCCCCACCACCAAAGCCACAGCTCAGGCCACCCCCATAGCCTCCACCAGAGCTGGAGGAAACAAACCTGGCAGAAGAAGCTGAAATACTACGACTTCCACCTCCCCCATATAGACTTCCTCCACCAAAACCGCCTCCCCCAGCCCGGAGAGAGCCCCCTCTAGTAGAGCCACCCCCAAAGGTGGAGGAAGAAGTTTGCAGAAATGTAGTAGCCATGGCCAGGCCAGCGAGCGATGGTGAATTCCTAGCAAGCAGGAGAGATGCTCTTAGGAGTTGCAGAGCTGCTCTGAACCCAGAGGGCAGAGCTGCGGAGGACCCCAGCCTAGGACTCTTTATATACCCCTCGGAGGGGGGTTGTGGGGCCTTAATCTCCTCCCCCTGTGCCAAGCCAACCCCTCTACCTGCCTGACAAACACAGCTGCCTCCACACCTCCACGTGGCTCGTGTGGGGTTTTTTTTCTTTTTTTTTTAAGGCAACAAAAGAGATGATTCAGAATTAATGGTGTTTGGCCCTGGGCTGTGGTTTTAACACTTCAATTACAGGTTCATCTGTCCACTCCAGGAGAAAGAAAGCAACTGAGAACAAAATGTCTCACCACAGCACAGCTCCTAATGCTTCCGCCTGGTCCATAACTAATGAGACCAATTGTGCCCAAAGCTAAATTCCACTGCCCCTAGCCCATGAGCCACCCCCCAAAGCAGACAGCCCTCCACTCTCCATCCCCCACACACCCGCATGCGTCTCCGGATGTAAGGAGAGCAGAGAGGTTAAGATCTTAGGAAGGGGATGCAGAACCTATGGGTTCAGGCTGACAGGAGAGGGGGCGGGGGTCGTGAGTCAAGTTCCACCCAAGGTGATCAGAGGGGTCCATGTGCCCGTCCTTTCCCTAGCAGTGCTGTAAACCTCCTCCTCTCACCTCTCCCACTTCCACCACCACCCCACCCACCTGCCATATCTGAAGCCCCCTCCCCCTTTTCTAGTTTCCTTCGGCCTCTAGCCCCATGGTCCTAGCCAGCTTGCCAAAGCCCAGCCAGCTTGGCACTGACAAGGAGCTGATGGATCGTCTTGTCACCTGCCAACTGCACATGTCACTGAATCTTTGCTTATTCCTGGGGCACGTTGGGGCAAACCTCTGCAGATAAGGCTGGAGCAAGTTCCAAGAAGCCCCTGCCTTCTCCAGAGAGAGGCATGTCCCTACTTAGCAGAATCAGATTAACCCCGGTTTGTCCCCTGGAGGCCTGCAGGCTGGGGAGGGGCTGAGCCAAGAGGCTCTGCACGTGTTGTGGGGAGGAGAGAAGGAGTGCCACACATTCCCCACCCCCACCCCGCCTGCCCCTCACAAGCAGGTGGAAGGCACCAGAGCCGGTGGACCAAAGCAGCACTCACTCACTCACAGAAGAAGGCTAGGCCAGAGAGGGCAGTGGCACACTCAGGAAAACCCTTGCCTCTGCCACCGGCTCAGGAACCCCACTTCCCAGAGATATTGGCAGCTGTGGGTTAGTGCCACTTGGATATTGGTGAGCCTGAGTCCAAAGCCAGAATGTGGAAAGGTGAGCAAGACTGATGAGCTAGGGAGGCCGGAGGAGGGGGTCTTGGCCCAAGGCTGCATCACAGAATGGCAGCAGACAGCACTCTGGAATCCCTCAGGTCTAAGTTCAAAACCTGCCTTGAACAATGACATATGTAAGACTTTATAGATAGGTTACTTGTTAAGGCCCAGTGTCCTTGGAGCACAGGGTACTCACTCTCAGTGCACGCTCTCTCTCTCTCTCTCTCTCTCTCTCTCTCTCTCTCTCTCTCTCTCTGAGATCTAAGGGAGGTATGATTGTGGATTGCAAACACTCTGGAAAGGTTCTGTCCTTGAACTTAAACTTTAACATTTTCTTATGGTTAGCAGCAACCATTGACCACAGCCAGATCCAACTGGTCAATCAGATGGTTTGTGTGTGTGTGTGTGTGTGTCAGTCTGGGGCTTAAACTCTGGGCCTTAGCACTGTTCCTGAACTCTTTTTGCTCAAGACTGGCACTCTACCACTTGAGCCACAGCTCCACTTCTGGCTTTTTGGTAGGTAATCGAAGGTAAGAGTCTCAGGGACTTTCCTGCCTGGTCCAGCTTTGAACCTCAATCCTTAGGCATCAACCTCTTAAGTAACTAGGATTACAGGAGTGAGCCACCAGCATCCAGCTATCTTATTTTTGCTGTAATCACAGAATCCCCTACTCCCATCACAAACTTGGTGGCTTACAAAGGACTTTTTCTTCTACCATCCTCTCAAATCCTATGACACAAAAGGTAATCCTGCCCACATTTCCAAAGGAATAAAATAGGAACTCCAAGAGGCAAAGCTGTTCCTGCAAGATGGTGTAGCTACACCAGGGCACTGTCAGTACTCTTGAGAGTAAAAAAAAAATTAGTCTTTTCTGTCAAACAAAAGTGTATTTGGTATTGTGTACTGATACTGCCTGGAATTATTTGCTTCGTTTACTTCAACTGTAGCTATCATCTGTCCTGCTTGTTACCAGCTAGCCATATTAGGAAGATAAATCCTGTGTTGAAGAAGTTACAAGGGATGTTAGTGGGAGCTTTCCATTGACCCCATCAACTTCCTCCAGCCATCCCGACTCCCAGCCAGCCATGCTGGCCCCCTTTCTAATCTCGGTAGTCTATTGTATTTAGACTCTGAGCCCAACTCCTTGACAGGAGGAGGAAGAGTTTGGATTGATATTAAAAAAAAACTAGCAAACTGTCCTGTACAGTGTCTACTTGGCTCTAGATAGAATAACAGTATTTCACCCTTTTGTACAAAAGTAAATTGCCTTGATGAAATCTCGTGTTATCTCTTGTGCGTCTATTCATTTCTGACACTGGACAGCCATGCATTTCTAATACTCTGATACCCCCCTCCACACACACACACACACACACACACACACACACACACACACACATACACACACACACACTCAAGCAGGACACAAGAAAGGGAGTTCTTCCTTCCAAATTCCTGCTGGACTCTGAGCTGGGCTGTAGGGGAAACCGTACACCCAGGTAGGTCAGATGGGCTCTTCCTTGCCTCGCTTCCCAGCAGCCAGGCGGCGTCCAAGTGCCAAGCACAGTGTAGCATTGTCTCATGGGTGGAAGGATATTGTCTTTCCCTCTGAAAGAATAATAATCAGACCTAAATCAGCCAGAGCTCATTAAAGCCTCTGCAGACATGGCGGCCCCAGCAATTAACACAGCTGAACAATCACTCGTCCATTACTCCAGGGTGAAGGAGGGTTGGATCCAGGCCAGATCCCCTCCTGCACGCTCACTTTCCTCCAGAAACCCTCACGGTAGCTTTCTCTCCACTCCCTGGTCCACCCCAAGAGCAGCACCTACCCGTTATTGGCTGTCCTGGCCACAAATACAAAATTCCTTGACTGTATCCTGGACCCTCCTGTGAGCTCCAGGTTTGGGATGGCTTTACAAGGACTGAACTCTGGCTCCAGTGTGTCTGCCAGTTTCCGTCCTTAACCCACTGTAGCCAGACAAACATCTTTGGCATTTCTGGCATGGGGCTGGCCTTCCTTCAGATGGGGCCCTTGAAGCCCAGTGGAAAGAGCCTGGATGAATTCCATCTCTGGTTATGACTCACCCTTGTGATGCCAGATTCCTGATTGTCAATTGAACCAATAAGATTGACCCCAGCCCCAGGACTACAGTGAGAGTTTACTGACACTTTGTAAGACAGTCCCCACAAATGTTAGATCCCATTCACACCTCCCCTGTCCCCCAAAGAGGCGGCAAGGACAGGGAACATCAATGTAAGCCCCTAGAGATTCAACTTCAAGTCCCTTCTTTCCCCTTGACTAGGTGTACAGCTTCAGGAAATGATGCCTCCTCTCTCTGAGCCTCAGTCTACCAATTAGAAAAATGGAAGTAACTCCAGTCCAGCCTGATAGAGAGATATAGTAAGATAACTGAGCAATAATGCGTGACACAAGGAGCAGCCATGGTGGCTAACGTCTACTCTCCACCTACCCCAGGTCTTCTCAGAAACAGCTTCCAGGCTAAAACAGAAAAGTATCCCCACCCTTCGCACACAAAGAAAGGCCTGGGACACAGTTACCTGCCACACCTGGCGGGGGGAGGGGGGGCCAGACCCCACCCTCAGCCACATTTTAGGACCCCCTGCAGCAGAGGAAGGGTTTCAGCTGTGGCAATAAAGGCTGTTATGAGCAGGGACAGAACCTCTGAGCAATCTGAACCTGGGAGTGAAGTCTGGTGTCTGCCACCAGCTCCCAAATCTTCCTGGGAAGCCAGGGAAGGGCCAAGAAAAAGCCGGGCTCTGAGACCACAGAGAAGGGATTTGGAGCAAGGTAAAGAATCTCTGAGTCCTACAGGAAGAAGCAGGAAATCACATCTCCTTCAGGATCTGGACACAGGGAAGCCCCCGTTCAATGGTATTCCAGACCTCAGCAAGGAACGGCATACCATTACCCACTCCCGCACGGCTCCAACAGGCTTAGCCTGAGCCCTCAGCCAGCAAAGGTCCCTGCTTTATGGGCCTCTTTTACCTTGAATTGACCTCAGTTCTTAGTGGCTGAGCTGTAAATCTCAGAGGCAAGACTAACTATAAACCACAAGGGCAGGACTGTACCCACCCAGGGGCAGATTTGTACCAGGAAGCTGAGACTTTGTCCCTTTGCTGGCCCAGGGCAGCCCAGAACAAGCCAGGTTGGGGGAGTCGGTATGGGAGGTCTGGGTCACAGCTGGGTCCCATTCCAGGCTCTGGGCCCAGGTATGGGCTAGTGAGTGTAAAAGGCTTTTTATTTTTCAGGACCACCTAGGAATAGATAAAGGTGTTAACGCATGCCCCAAGACATACACCAACAAGGACATGTTCTCCAGTTCTGAGTTACAGAAAATGACACTAAAGCCTGGGTTTGGTTAAGGTGGAGAAATCTGTCAGGAGACCCCTGTCAGGAGATGCCTGGACTGAGCCTTCCTCCGGAGGAAGGCTTGCACAAATGTCAATTGACAGTGTGGGCTATGCATCAGGAAACTTAAGATTCTTATTCTGGCTATGTGGCCCTAGACAAGTACTGAACCTCTCTGAATCCATTTCCTAATCTATAAAAAACAGCCCAAGCTGGGTGCTGGTGGCTCATGTCTGCAATCCTAGCCACTCAGGAGGCTGAGATCAGAGGATCACCGTTCAAAGCCAGCCCGGGCAGGAAAGTCCATGAGACTCTTCTCTCCAATAAACCACTCGGAAAACTGGAAGTGGCACT